CTCCTACAGCACAGCATGTGCGAGGAAGTCTGGATAAAGCACGTTTTCCACTGGCTTGCTCAAGCGAATTTTCGAGAAGTGCCCGAGGGGTTGGACAGTTTGTTGCGAAAGGTCTGGGGTGGTCTTTTGAACAGCAAGCTCGTGGAGGATGCGAACAAATTCCAAAGACAGCATGAGGATAGGAGCAACAATGCTAAAACGTTGCCCTTGGGAGAAACCTGGCACTGTGTGAGCCAACACGAGGTCTTGAAGGCCTACGAAAGACAGGAGGTCAAAGCCCGAAAGCAGTACAATGTGCCTGCAGACTTCGACATCGAGGGTATGTGCCGACCTCATGCAGATCGCACTCGTCAGAAGACGCCAGAAGAACAAGCAGATTTTGAGTTCGTGCAGGGTGTGACTGGAACTCAGACATGGCCGGCGTTCACACCAGAGAGCGAACAGCGAATTTTCTGTCGGCTGGCCTTGCTGGTGCACCTGAACAAGAGAGGCCAGCAGTGGGAGCTCGCCGAGAAAGCATGGATGTCGGGTTTGCTGCCTCCTGGGATTGTCTTCCTGTACCGGTCCTGAGGACCTATCCACACAGGGATGCCTGCTTTGGCCTTTGACAACCAGACCCTTCAGTGGCAACCTCGAATTCGACAATTCAATTTCCCAGCTGACCTGGGGCTTCTTGTTTTCTCTGGAAGGATGCTTCGTGCAAGAGCTTTCTGTGCTGGTTCCAGTTCAAGGGTGTCGCTCGGATAGGTCGGGCCTGCAGCTCAAGCCAGGCCTTCAAAAACTCTTGCTGCAATTGGGCGAGGGTTTGCTCAAGCAGCTGGCGCAGCATCTCGGGTACGAGGAAGCACCGCCGAACGCAGATGATCAAGAGGTTGCAACAGCGGTTCATCTTATGGTCAACCTGGACCCCAGTCTGCAAGAACACGAGGTGCTGGACAGAGTGAAGTTCAGAAACGAGGCAGATGAAGGGGGGGTGGAAGGCATGACAGAAGAGCTTGCTCTTGCAATGGAAGACACGATGAGACAGCAAGAGAAGCAAAAAATCTTGAAAGGGCTCGAGTGAAAGGGCTCGAGCGAAAGTCGAGGCCGGTCGCAAGTCTCGCCGAGATCGCCAAAGCGAGCTTCCACAGCAGCTACGACCAGATACCAGTGGAAGTGGCCAGAAAGGCTGTGCTGGAACGAAAAGCCAGAGAATCGGCAGAACGAAAGAAACAAGAAGAGCAAAAAGCCCGAGAAGCAGCAGAGCAAAAGAGAAAAGAAGAGCAAGAAGCCCGCAGAAGTCCTGGCTTGCCACAGGGCGGGGCCCAAGCGAAAGCAAATCCAAAGAAGCGAGGAAACCAACCTGCTGCCGAAAGCCAGGGTCCCAAGAAAGCCCGGATGTATGCCGGCCTGAGTTCGGTCGCCGATGCGAAGCTCCGAGAACACCTCCCGAGCTGCACGGCTGTATTTTCCGATGTGAAGAATGGCCGATGGCGAACCACATTCAAGATCGCTGGAGCCCAGGCCAAGCAGAAGTCTTCAGCTGGACAGCTGCGGGGCCAACTGAGGCAGCAAGGGCGTGCTTAGAATGGAACTGGCAGCAGCACAAAGAACACAACGACGTAGACATGCCTGAGAGAGTGACATTTTTGATGAGAGAGTGGGGCAGCATCTCAGGGGACGGCGAAGCTGAAGCCCCAGAGCCAGCTAGCAGCAGCAGATCCAGGAAGTGATCCAAATTTTGTTTCTTTGGCCAAAGCTCGGACTCACATGTCCTGGATATGGATGCAGTAGAAGCTAGGACTGTAGTATACTGAAAGGTTTTCGCTAAGGCTTGTGATCACATCCCCCACTGCGATCGATTCCAGAGAAATTGCGATTCTCTCCATGCTTTGGGCCATGCCTGAAAACTCACATGGCTTGTCTCGGATCGGAAACAGAAACAAGATCACAAAGGCTGCCTGCAACAGCCACCTGCACATCCCGATTGGATGTGAAGTTGCTTTGCATTGTGCTTGCGAAGCTGTGCTGTGACTGTGACTGCTGTGCATTCTTGCAATGAAGCTAACTGACTGAGCTGTGACTGTGCTTTGACTGTGCTTTGTTTCGCTGTGAGCTGCAACCGGTGAGCAGTTGCTGTGCTGCATGTGCCCAGCTGTGCCTTCAACATGTGCCGAAGCCATTGTGATAGATTTGTTTTCTGGGTAGGCTTCTGTGCTCGTAGCGAACACCAAGACACATGGGAAAGCGCGCTGCGAATGCCACGGCCAAGAGCTTCAAAGTGGCCCAGCGAGAAGCGAAAAAAAGAGCCCAGGAAGAGAAGAAGAAGAACCAGATGGAAGCGAAGCAGGCCGAGAAGCTCAGGAAGGTCATGCAGACATACGAGACCAACAATCACAAGAATGAGCGAGACTATATCGTCAGCATGATCGACTCCAACCCAGGGTGGGTCAGCAAGCTCGCCAAAGTGATTCGCCAGGGCGGACTGCGACTTCTCCTCGAGCTTGAGGCAAAGGAAGCCGCTGAGGAGAATGTGGACTATGGGGACAAGTGGAAGGGAAAGGCCAAGACCTTGCTCACATTGCCGCCAGCGATTATGCAGCGAATGGTGCTGGCCACCCTGAAGCAGGGGCAGTCACTCCACGAATTGGAGAAGGACGACGATTGGTGGAAGAAATGCTTTGCCTACCAGTTCCATTGCGACGAGGAGACACCCCTGCCACAGCACACCCTCGTAAAGCACATTTTGGTCTTGGAGCAGTTTGGCAAAGCAAGAGTGCAAGCATTGGGTCACAATCGCTTGGAGGACAACCCAAAGAAGCTTGAGCTCATGGAGACCAGGGACTTCGTTTTCTGGAGGATGGTCGAGACACAGCATGAGGATGAGACCAAGACAAGCAAGCTCGTTTGTGCCCTCACCGACAAGGCTCACGATTTGCCACGACTGAATAGTGACCAGGGGCCCTGGCGACTGAGCGATGCTTGGAGCCCAGCAGCCCTGGTGATTGCCTCGAACTGCCCACTTCAGTTCAAGGCTGCAGATTACTCCCACGAATTGGCCAGCTCCAGCGAGAAATGGAAGTATGAGGTGGATGCTGAGGCAGCTGCGAGAGCAGCAAATGCCTACTTCAGTCGCCTCCATTCTGAGGCTGCCGGAAATGCTGTGAATTCTCAAGACAACCCATTCCGAAAAGGAAAGCCTGCCCAGAATGCGAAGTGAGCATTCTGCTGATGTGATATCATCAGCTATGGGGTTTCGGGGATCTGGGAGCCACTTCCTGGACAACACAGGCGCTCTGTGTTTGCAAGGAGATAGATGGCTACAAGTTGGCGTTTTACCTAGAACATGTCAGCATCGATCCTGGCAAGTGCGATGGCAAAAAAGAAGCTGCTTTCAGTCTGATGCTGACTTCAGGAATTGCTGCCATGCTGACTGCAGCTTTCGGTTAGGTTTCGCTGCAAGTGACATTTCAGCCAAGAGAGAAGTGAACAATATGGTCATGAGCCTGGGCAAACAGCCATCAATAAACAAGGCTCAGCATGACAGTCAGGGAAGGGGGCCTGGGGGAAAGTGGGAGGCTGCCGGGGACCTGAGAGAGAGCACCAGCATGCTAAATTCTGGACCGGGCCCTCCAGAGAGAGCACCAGCATGCTAAATTTACGGTTTCAGCGTTTCGATTCTGAAGTCTCAAGGCCCAAACCCTAAGCCTTGCAAACTTTTGAAGCACAGCCAGAACCCCAGCTGCCGAGATCTCAGCTGCTCATTCTCTCCGCCCTAATTTTGAAGACCGAAAAATCTGGCAGCGAGCCAAAGTCAACAACCCTTGAACCTGCAAGTCCAAACTGTTCGAAATAGTTAAAGCCGATCAAATAAAAAAATATAGATCTGCAGGTGCCTCAAAATGAGCCCTAAAAGCCACATGCCTGTAAATAAAAATTTTCAGGAAACCCTACACCAAGTACCCTGAGTTTTAAAACGCATTGCAACTTACAGCCTCAAGCCGAAACCCTGAAATCTAAAGGAAGATAATTGGGGTGACTCTTGTTGAAAACCAGAGCTGCCAGGCACTTCCACTACACAGGGTTTTTGTGACCATGTGGAAGGCTTCAAGCATGGAAGTGGCCAGCAATCCAATAATTTTTTTGAAGGCATCCTGCTTCCACAAAACAAACCAGCTGGAGGACAAGTTCCAGCTGTGTTGGCCAACCTTTAATTCATGAGGCAGGCATGAAAAACAGGTGCCTGTTTGGCATGACTTTTCGAAGCAGAGTGTGAGGGCCAAAAACTGCCCGACCTACTCTGGGACCGCGCCTACTCTGGGACCGCGCCTGTTGGCTCCACTGATACGCGAGCAATGTGAGACGACAGCGAGAGTGCACAGGAGCTGCTTGCAAAATGTGGCCCAAAGCTATAGCCCTAAGCCCTAAACCCTAATTCCTAAGCCCTACACCCTGCATAAACCCTAAACCCCCAAACGTGCAGCACATTATTCCCCGATTCCCTCCTGACCCACAGTAAGTGTGCGGGCTAGCAACTTTGTTGGGCTTGAGGTTTAGGGCTTCGGGCTTAAGGGTTTAAGGCGCCCTCACAAGGAGCAAAGAAAAACGCACCGATCCTAAGCCCTGAAGCCTAAACTTACTAAACCTTATCCCTAAACCCTAAACCCCAAACCGAATCATCATATTATACACAAAGGTTCCTCTTACACATATATATATATATTTCTTGTGTGCATCTGTTTGTGCGCCTCTTGGTTTCTGATTTCATCTTCGCTGCTTGCTGAGCTTAGGTTTCTGATATGTGCAGGCTGTCTGATTGATTTCCTCTCCGTTGTTCTATAAACTTCTTTCCTGATTTCCTTCGTGCCTGCCAGTGCGCTTGCCAGCGCAGAGCAGCCGAGCTCTCTTGATCACCGCATTTGACGTCTTCCGTAAGTGTGCGAGTTTCTGGAGTTTCCTAAAGGCAGTGAAAAGCCGAAAGCCGTTAGCACCTATACGCAAGCCCCAAACCCGAAACCCAGATCGCCAGCGTTCTGAAGACGCTCAAGCGGCTGCCACGGTTCAAGTCGCCAGCCTGGCAGGCTTTAGGGGAGGGGCGTTAGGGTTCGGAGGCTTAAGATGTTTTGGGCGTCCCAGGCAAGGTCTACGCGACTTGAGAGCGGTGTGGCACGACCTCATCGCTGGGGTACCATAAGCAAAGAGACAGTCGAAAACCAAGCCCTGGCAAATACCAAGCTTTAAGCCCGAAGCACTGCACTGTAAGCTTCCCCCCCCCCCCCCCCCAAGCCTTTAACCCAAAGAGCCCGGAGGGGTCTGTTCCTGCCAGGGTTGAGTTCTTTGCCGGGGTCGGGTTAACAGCCTAGAAGATTTGAAGGCAATTTCAGGAGAGCATGCAGACTTGAGCTATGGCCAGGGCTGGAAACTGAAAGTTTACACCTGAAAGGGTCTTCCGCGTTTTCCTTTGCAAGCTGTTGGAGGTACCCGCCACGAGAGGCCCCAGGCTCTCTCTCTCTCTCTCGCGAAGCTCTTGGGTACTTCCTGCAGCCAGGACTACCCCGCAAATCATGGTCTACAACAAGGTGGACCGTCTAGAAGGCAGCGGACTTGGAACCTTTGGACACCTGATCCCGTGACGTCGTCTTGGGTGGAAAGATGTTGGCCGCTTCATGTTCGATGCACTCTAGAACGCACATGGCCACAGTTGGGGGCATGTTCTTCCCTTGTTTCAGGGTGTTCCGACGGTGCAGAGTCGAGGCAGGAGGGTGCCTGTTTTGCTCCATGTGAGGTGGGAAGGCGGAAGAGCTGGAACAGAGCCACGCTCCCAGCACCTGCTGCGTTTGGCTCTGTGCAGGGATTTGCACACCGTAATTACCGTGCGTTCTTCGATATCATGGCAGGTCATATACGCGCAGTGCAATGCGACATGCGCATGTGACCAGGTCTGAGCTACCCAGATCCTGGCATTGTCGGTCACGTGCAGGCCGCATATCGTTTTTGGTTCACCCTGCTCTTGCAGCCGCGTAGAATGAACTGCTGCGGCCCATTCTGCAGCAAATTTGGCTTGGCTGCCGCGGCTCCCGCAGCGAGCGCACGACAGAATGTGGCGCCCTGAACTCTAGGCTTGGTCCACCAAGGGTCAGCGACGCTGGCAGCGCTCTGCTCGTATATGGGTCCAGCACACTTGCCCGCCTTCAAGTGCAGTCCAGAGGCCTTTAGGGCGGGTTACGCCCTTTGTGACATTCGTTCTTTCTTCGCCCCATCTGGGCCTGGACAACTCGGAGCCACCCAGAAAACCCCAAAGCCCCAATCCCCTAAACCCTTAACCCCCCCGAGACTCCCAAAGCCCGCGCGCGTGCTTAACCCCCTTAAGACTCCGCAAATAGGCCGCAAGCCCTAAACCTTGAACCTTAAACCCTAAACCCCAAGACCCGAACCTTAAACCCTTTCAACCTCAAGCCCTAAACCCCAACGCCTATACGGCAGGTCTCGGCGCTGAAAGGCCAAGGGTTCACGGCCTTGGCAGAGGCATCGACGCATCAACGCGTCAGCTTTCGGGGCCTAGGGTCAAGGGGGGGGCCTCAGGGTGGGGGGTTTAGGAGCGTTTGGGGGGTTTGGGGCTCAGGGGGCTGTCAGGGATGCTCATGGGGGTTGAGGGCTTGGGATTTAGGATTTCGGGTCAAGAGAGCAGACCCTAAGCCCAAGCCCGAAGACCGGAGCTTCTTCGCTGAACCCCTAAAGACCTGAACTTTGGCGGCGTGGACGTGGATCATAAGTTACGATTCGATTCCGGTAGATTTGGGGGATTAGTGGGGATCGACGTGAGCTTTGTTGGAAGGCGATTGAAGAGACCCTCATCAAACATACCGACTTCGGTGCGGCAAGCATGAAGCTTCTCGTCTGGTCCCTACGTTCTTGGTCCTGTCAGCATGTTGCAGATGCGCAGCTGGTCGTTCAATCGAAGGGACAAGGACATGAGAAACATGGCGCCGCTGCCCGCTGCTTAGATCCCGTACACGGAGTCGGCGGTCTACGCCAAGATGTGACGCGGCAGCGCTTCTGAGGGGCCTTCACACGGCTTGGCTCTGGGTTTGTGTGAGAGGAATGTGCCTGGTGTGCCGGGTGTAAATGTTAGACGACATTGCTGTCCGACATTGTCCGACTGGAGCCCTAGTTCCTGTCCAGTTCGACATAAAAAAACGACTGAAGGCATGATCGAAGGCATATGGGTCTCGTGAGAGAGTGCCAAGGAAGAGCGGCGACAACCAGGTCAAGATCAACGAGGAGGCAGTCGCAAGTGGTAACGTGCGAGAGCCACCTACGAGAAGGGGAGATTTGCATGTTGAACCGTTAAAACAATAAATGCAGTAGTGCTACTGATAATCATAAGAGCCGTAATAGCAACAAGCATCGGCCTTCATTGTGTCTGAGCATGCGACCTTCTGGTTGGAAGAAAAGACGCTCCCCCCCCCCTCCCCCGAACCATTTTGACAAGAAGAAATCTTAGAACTTTGACTCCAGAACCTCGATCCCCTGGCTTTCTCAGATGCACAGCTCGGATGGCTACCTGCTTCAGGCCGCTGTTGATTAGGATCACTATCAAGCAGAGCTTCTGGGCTTCTGGCTTGTTCCGAATCCGGGTTATTTGGTTTTCCCGGCCCCAGCTGCTTATCTTTCTGTGCTTTTTTGTCTGCGGAAATTCAGGCTATTCGTGTCATGTATGTAGTGTCTTACTCTTGTTCTGTGTACGGGGTGCCATGCGTTCTGCAGCAAAGTGCGATATCAGGCTACCATGGCCCAGCCTGAAGCGGACAGACTCATCCACTGGATTGTATGATTTTACCCCCAAGAACTGACGTGCGGCCACTTGCACTGGAAGGTGACGGCGACGCCCACCGCGGAGAGGATGTTGAAGTCCTACGAGGTGCGGATGTGGTGGGCTGGTGATGTCTCGAGTTTTGGTAGACTGTTTGTGCAGTGACCTTGGCATTCGACCTTGCGCCGAGCTCGACCCAACCCCAGAAATGTAGGTCAGTGAGGAGGACTACGAGCTCATAGCCGCCATGTGAGCTCAGTGATGCACACAAGGCGTTGAGAAGATAGGAAGAGGCAGAGATAGAGACCCATTGGTCCAAAAGAAAGGAAGGAAGGAAGGAATAATTTCAGAAAGACAGAAAGAAAGTAAAATCACTAAATCAACAAGGCAATAGGGTTGTCCCTTTGCGCCGCCCTCAGAAGTAGGAGCGTGCTCATACAATTAGGCGAAAAGACGCAACACAAATAATTACAGAGGAACAGGAGAAAGACAGAAAGAACGAGCGAAAGAAAGAGAGACATGAAGAGAGAGCGATAGAAAGAAATGAGAGAGGTGCGTGGAGGCAGTCTTGGCACGTTTGAAAGCGCCGGCGCCCGTGGCCAAAAGCGCGCTGCTTGACACAATCCTCGAGAACTCTTCTTGAGATCCACATCAGACATGTCAGCGCCACATGAGACTGCTTGTTATCTTGCAATGCCAAGTGAAACGCGGTACAGTACACACTGCTTGCTTTACTTTACGCCGAAGACAGGACGATGATGACCTGCCTCTACGAGCTTGCTTAAACATCAGAAGGACCTTAGCAAGTACACGGCTCAACGGGCAGCTGATGTTTACGTCTCTCTGAGGCATAATGTTCGGCATTGCTGACAGATGTTGCTACCCTTCCCAATGAGCACAGCAAAGGCAGACACATAGGCGCGCAGTGCAGAGTTTGCACCAGACTGTTGGCCTTTGTGTCGACACGTGGCGTGATTGAAATCCACGTCGGCCTGAGTTTGTTGCTTAAGGCAGGAAGAGATGTCAAGGACCGCAGTGCAGTGCATGCTTCGAACTTAATCTCATCCGGTAGCATTCTGCAACAAACGCGCTATTCCTGTAAGAAATCAAGTACCATCTCAATGCAGTCGAGCGCCCCACTACCTGATCCTTACTTGCGATATTCGTTTCCCCCCTGTTACCAGATGCTGTGTGAGTTGCCATGGACTTGCGGGATGCGACTCATGCGTGGTGGCCCCACCGTTCGCAGTGCTTGCAGAGCCCTGTGAGTCCTATGATGTAGACGACTGGGTGGGTGCAAGGCTGAGTGTCCTTGTTTACTGATTCAGCCCTGAGGCCCCCCCACAATTGCCATGTCCAATCAGGGTCTAGTCTGCAGCATACGTGATGTCGGGAGTAGCTTCACGATTTTGAGAATCTCCAGGGCATGTGGGCTCAGGGTCTATACAGGGTTTAGATGCTACGCCTTTCCTACACCTTGGCTGCGAAAAGCGCTGGGGCAAAGGCATCGCGGTTTTTCGCGGCTCCAAAGCCTCCTGAGACAATGGGAGGCACCGGTGCATATGCCGACCCCGAGTCCGGTGCGCCAGGGTTTGGCCACGTCTTTAGCATCTACAAGTTCATATACCAACATGCAATAAAAGGAATTATATTTCACACAGCAACATTTGTCAGCTGTGTTGTTCTTTCTTCGCAATGGCGTGCGCAGGTTCTCCGACATCCGTCCAATGTTTCGTGTCGCGCTTTGATGTATACCCTGCCATATTCGCACGACCCTCGTGCAAGGTCGCGCGAGGTTTGCGCAGCACAGTGTTCCTATGGCATGCCGGCGACACATGCACTACCGAGTACTGCACAAATTAGGATTCGCAGCTTCCAGGCCGAATGTCAGGCGTCTGTGCGTATGGTGTGCACTTAGGGTATTCTTGCATCGTGCAATCAAAACAGAGGTTCCGGGCCCGGTTTCAGCCATCTGTGCATGTGGTGCTTATTTGGGACTCGGGTTTCTTGAGGTCCTCTGCACTATGATCTTTCCAAAGTGCAGCATCGTTTCTGAGCACGATGAGGGGGGGCGCAGAGTTCTCGGGTTGACTTCCGGTCGGGTTGAGTGGAATTAGACCCATGTGCATGGAGAAGGGTTCGACTTACGGTTGCTGGGGTTGACTTGAGGCGCGGGCCTATCAGTCCAATCAGCTTCGCCTGAGAGTCTTGCAGTTCCTCAATTCGAGACCGAACTCTGAGACCGAACTCTAGTGCCACTGCCAGGCAGCTGATAAAGTCGCTACGCACAAGCTGCAAGAGCTCATCGACAGCATGACGTGGCTTGGAAGCTTGAGAAGTTGCTCGTCTCAAGACTGACTCTGCTCTTTGTAGGCATTGTGGGACCCGTCTCTCTACACGGCAACCTGGTTTGCCCACGTCTCAGGCGGCAAGACTACCTCTCGTCTGAACATGTCGGGCTGTGCGCATCTCAGACGGGGCGCTTCAAATAAGTAGCTCCTGGCCTATGCAGTTGATATGTGTGTGTGAGTGTGTGTGCGTCAGAAGCACCGTGGTGCCATGAGAGTGATTGGCTTGAGAAGCCTTGAAATGGTCTTGAGCTACAACTCTTAACTTTGAGGCGTGCAAGAGTACTCAGCCCCAGAACGGCTCAAGTCTCTCCGAAAGCCAAGTTCAGATCGAGTTCACTTGATCGGCCCATGAATACCCCCCACTTGCGCTCGAGTGAGCAGAAGGATCACAGCTCGTGATGAACTGTTTTGATCCCGTATCACCGCAACCCTGGCCGGCTTTTCAGCTGTTTGACTGCTGAATCAACAAATCCAGGGTCATGGCGGTTTGGTGCTCACAAGTTCGGGGTTTAGCACTTGTTCGGGGGTTTAGGGGCGAGGGCGTTGAGGGACTTGTGGAGTTTAAGGCTTGCGGTGCAGGTTTTGCTACTTGCGGATTTAGTGTTCGGGGAGTGCTTGGGATTGGGATGTCGAGGGCCACTGGTGCTCGCGAGTAGAGGGTGTAGCAGTGTAGTGTTTAGGATGAGTTTGGAGGTTTTGGGGTTTGGGAACTACGGTGCGGGGTGATGAGGGTGTGGGTGGTTCACTTGGAACTTTAAGGTGTTTTGGGACCGGTCAGTGCTTTGTTTTCTTTTTTCAGGCTGGGTGTCGCAGCCCTGAACTTCCAGGCTCTGGCGGGCTTTAAGATTTCAGGGCCTGAAGCAGCAAGCGTTTTGTGGGTGTAGGCCACGATGTAGGTCAAGATTTGGGTCCTGCGGTGTGGGGGTGTCCGAAGCAGGGGTACCCTCAGTTTGCGGGGTTCCTACAATAAGGTGTTGCAGTACTTCAATATAGAAGGGGCAGCCCCTGTTTCGGGAATGCCCATGTCTTGTGACGGTGTGGCGCCTGTGTGGTGCATTGTGTAGAGGTGTGATGCGCAGCTTGTTTTTTTTTTCAGGTGTGGCGGATTCTTCTTTGGGGGCTCCGGTCTTTGCAGCTACGTAAGCATTCCGAGCTGCATTCTGAGGTGTCGGACTGTATTTGGGTGGTCATGCACAATACAGCACTTGGAACTGTCGAGCATGTTCGACTTGCATTTTGAAACGCTGTGCAAGTTTCCACATGTCGAACTCGAACCGAACAAGAAGACCCGACTCGGTCGGGCAGGCGTTGCTGTCTGCCAGGGCAGCTTTGGACCAGTCCCTGCCTCAGATCGGAACTTGTCAACCTCCCAGGACAGCCCCCAAAGATGGGCCAGTGGCAACTTGAGTGAGGCTGTTGGTAGGGCCGTGAACCCTAAACCCTGAACCCTAAGACCCCAAAACGCACAAGTGCCTCAAGCCCTTCTACTCCCCAAACCGCCCACACCGCCCAAACCCTCAAAGCCCCTAAGCCTTTGACGCCCTGATCTGCCGAAGCCCTTAAGCCCCCTCCCCTGGCCCCCTAATTAACCTCAAGCCTTCAGCTAAACCCTCTGACCCTGACGCCAGCATCACTCAGGCGATCATGCCAAGCGCAAGCGAGTCTCCGACTCTTACAGGCGGAGTTTGAGTTGGTTTAAGGTTGAGGGATGAAGATGTGTCCCCCTTGTCGAAACAGTCTTTAGCTTGAATCAAGGAGGTTCTTAAGGGGAGGTAGACAACCTATTTTGTGGCCAGCGTTGCTCGGCACTCTACCAGCTTCTGGGGCGGGGTTCCGGCTCGGGAGTTCTCAGGGTCGAAGCGCCGCTTGCAGACGCTCAGGCTGAGCTGAAGAACATTGCGGATGCTGTCAATGCGCTCTCGGAGGCTTTTGGTCATGTCAGAGACCCGAGCAGCTTCGATTTTTGCATGCCTGAAGCCTGAAGCCTGGATCCAGGAATTGCAGAAAGAGGTTCAACACCCCGCTTTCGTGAAAGAGGCCGGAACGCCCAGTCGACCCTCTTTCAAGAACATCTGTCGGGCTCTGCAGGCAGGGGTTATGACCTTGAGCAACGCGGGGCACTTGGCGCACAAAGCGGCGCAGATGCTGCGCCTGGAGCCTGGCGAACGTCAGAAGGGCTAACACTGGTTTAGAGGTCGAGAGCCGAGTCTTGTCGCCTTCTTTCCGGGCCCCTTTGTTGAGAAATCTTCCGCAGGCATCAGAACCTGTCCCACAATTGCAGTGCCTCTCAATCTCCCGAAGGTTCCGAAGTCGACTTGCCGGTTCCTTAGAGGATGTTTACGCGACATCTAGGAAAAAGAATCATCGGAAGCAGCTTGTGTAAAATCCGTCTTAAAAACGGGTTGCAGGCTGCAGCTGCTCAGTGAATCCCAGGCGACGATCCTTGTTGGCCTCCGTGCCAGCCCTCCGCAGAACGGACGCAGCGGCCCCAGCCAATCAAAAAGCCACCTAAGGGAACCCTGAGCCTTGTGCAGGCATCTACATCACGAAAGCTAGCCTCTGAGGGCGAAGCGTACAACCTGAAGGGTATACAGGGCCCCCGGAGGCTCCGCCACGAAACGCAGCAAACCCGGTCGATTTCCGGTGGCGAAACACAGGTTTTGGGGAAACGGGCTGGCGTTCATTTCTTTCGTATATTGGGTGCAAATGAATGCCGTTTTCTGTGGATCCAAAAAAGCCCCCCAAGAAAAGACTCAGAAGCCTTGATGTTGACTTGAGTCCGGCGTCCCTCAAAGCTGGATTGGACAGACTTCGCCTGGTGAGTGCAACATCTGTTGTGGTGTCATGCGCTTAAAAAAAGAGCCCTCCGGAAGATGCTAACAGAAAAGCCCCCCAAGAGAAGACTCGGAAGGCTTGATGTTCACTTGAATCCGGCGTCCTTAACGCGCGGGAAAAAAGTGACACGGCCTGCTGCCTTTGCGTGTGCTTGTCCTGCTGCGTAGTTGATGCCATGTTGACGGAAGCCCTTCCGTGGGGGTACCTTAACTAGCTTTCGTCCCAGGCCCTCACCCCCAAGTTACATCCTATACTGGCCCCATACGACCTCAACTAATTTCGAGAGCTGCTCTCTTCCACTCCCAGGCGGACGAGGAGCGCAGGCGGCTTCTTCTGGTGTGGATGGAGAGCAACTTGACGACATGGTGGCTTGAGTTTGTTGTTCTTTTGGCACAGGGCTTCGAACTGGTCACCCTTTGATTGGAAACTGGGGCGACAGGCCTACCTCGTCACCCTAAAGAAGGCATAGAATCGAAGCCTGTCATCCTAAACCCTAAACGCTACACCTTCGACCCTCTTACCAGTAGGCATGAAGGGCTGCGGGTAGCAGGGAAAAAACAAATGCCAAGGGCCCTACAGCTCCAACGAGGAGGCGCCCCAAGCTCTCGAAGCAGCCGCAAAGCACCTTGCAAGTCCGCTTGCTCCTCGAATCCTATAAATGCCCACAATACCCGTGCAGGCGGGCGGCCCACTGTACTCCCTGACTGAAGCGGTTGCGCGAGCACTCTCTCAAGAGACAAAGGGCGCTCTCTCATCTCCAGTTGTGCTCCCTCCCAAACTGCCTTTATCATCGGTTGTTGCGGGCTCTCCAGGGTGCGCCAGCATGTAGATGAGGCTTGCCATCCTCACGATGCAGGGCTTTTGTGACGTTCGTCTGGCTCAAGGACGTTCGTGTTTCTCAAAGGGCCGCAGGTATGCTCCGCATGGTGTGAAGTTCAGGTTGTGGAAGGGAAGAGTGGAAGGGAAGTGTGGACACGGCAATGTTGGGACCAGCACCTTGTCGATGTTGTCTACCAAACTTAGGAGCACCGATGGAAGAGGCAGCGGCAACGCCCGGCAAGCCAAAAAGCAGCCAGGTGCTATTTGCTTTCTGCTCCGGCTTTCTCTTCCTCATGGGCTCGTTCTCCTCTCTCTCTCTCTCTCTTTCCAGACTTCGCTGTCGCGGACTCCCTGTCTGCTCCGAGAAGCGAAATGCCCAAAAAGGCTCCCAAAGGCCGTTTGATAACCCTCCTGCTTTCAGGGCCGTGGGCCATCTGAGACCAGCCTGGAAGCCGAAGGACAGTTTGGACTCTTGCGATTTAGGGCCTGGGGCCAGGGGTTCAGTAGGGTTCGGCTTAGGCATTGAGATGATGAAGCCATCATCTTAACGATTAGCGGCTTAGTGATTGAGGGTTCACAGGGCTAAACAACCCAAGGGCCAATACATCAGAACCCTCTAAAGGAGGTAAGGGAACATATCAAGGGCCCCCCTGTACCTGGAGACTTCCCTCACGAAGACACAGACATGCAGCACAAGCACGTGGCCTGCGCTCTCCTTACTCTTTCGCGCTTCTTGTTCTGAGCCCTCGCTTGGAGGATCGTTTGTCCGCACCCGGCCGCAGCGCTGTCCATTCCAGGAGGTCGTGGCCTTCCCGTTGCGTTGCATTCTGCAGAGTTCGGAAGCTTTGCTCGTGAACCCTGCCCTCTGTAAGCCTGGCAAGAGCCGAAGCCTTAGCACACCATAGCAGGGCAGCACTTTGGCCCTGCGCTTTTAGTAGGTCGCGAGATGCGTTGAGAGTACGCCATAAGTACATCAGAATCGTGCATCATAGTAGCTCTCACAGTGCATCAGCCACAGCGTTTCTTCGAGAGAAACGTGGGGGCCGAGCCGTGACTTGACCGAGGCAAAGGGCTTCTCGCGACGCGAGAGGCGTGTTGGAGAGGAGATTGTTGCCGCGACCAGCACCCTGACTGCTCTGAATTTCGGTTTTCTGTTGAGCTGGTTGAAATGATTTGAAATGAGGGGTTCACCGGGGGCAGCATTCTTGTTTTGGTCTTGCTGGGCTGAGAGTTCGAGTTGCACTCGGTGCAGTGCGAAACGCCCTTGCTCCCCAGGTCCTGCCAAAGTGCTGGAGGTTGCAACGAGGTGGGGTCAGAAGGACTTTGTGTCTGAACTTCTGCATCCTTTTGTAGACTTAGGTCGATGATCATGTTGCAAGGGCCTTCTCACGGACCCTGAACATGGTCCCGCAGGTCGCCCTGAACCCATCGAAGCATATCTGAAGTTCTGAAGCCTGTAGCGTGTCAACAGGCAGGAGCTGAGCCCGGTGAATTGTATCACGGCGATCCATCGCATCGCCAGGCAAAGGTGTACCGACCACTGTGGTTGAGGATTGAAAGTTTTGAGAGTTTTCGGGGGAGTTTTCGGGGGAGCTTGGGGGAGTTTGGGGAGTTGACATGAGTGAAGGGTTCAAAGCAACTTCGTCTCGTGCGGGTCCTCCCGTCTCGAAAGCCCCAAACCTGCCCGTCCGAAGCGGCCCCCAAAGCTCTTAAACCCTCATCCTTCAACCCTGAACCCCAACAGCTCCTAAAGCTCCTCAAGAGCCTGCCACAGCCTCTCCGTGTCCACGCCACTGGAGACCGGGAGCTGGTTGCTGCTTGCAGCCGCGGAGGCAGCGACGCAGGCCGGGACCCAGGTGATGGGTTGAGGCCCGAAAGAGGGTAATCGGAGCTTTGGGGGGCTTTTGAGGGGTTTGGTGGGCGTTTGGGGGAGGGGGGGGTGTGTGTTTGGAGAGTTGTAGGGTCTCGTGTGATGCGTTTAGGGAACGTAATGTGCGGGGTTGGGAGTCTCAGGATGCTGGGTTTAAGAAAGGCACACGAGCCGGTTCCTTTTGTACATTCAGGCTGTGGGGTTCATGCCAGGACTTGGAGTTGTGTGCGTGTGACAAACGTGGTTCGCTATCTTTCTGTTTGCTACGTGAGCCTGCCCTTCTCCCTGCGACCCTGACCCCTCAATCCCAAGCCTTGCATTGGCGGGATGGAATTGGGCTCCCACACAATCCAAGAAGGTAATGACTGGCAAAGCGCACTCGAAGGCCATAGAAGGCTTGCCAAACAGCTAGAAGCACCGCTGGCCAGGTGTATCTGCCTGCTTTGATTTCCACGACAAACCATCCGATTTTTTGGGGCTCTGGATGCTCCATGCCCTGAAGGCTGATGCACGGGGCCCCGCAAACTTTGCTGCAGCCCCAGTCGGAGATGTCTCATCTGGGAGGGTTTCTCACCGCTCCCCGATGCGCTCGCCATCAAACTCTGATGAGATGATAACTTTTGATAAACCGAAACACCAAGAGACTGTTGCCGGCCGCTTACGAGTTTACGAGAGAGAGAGAGAGAGAGAGAGAGAGAGAGAGGGAGAGAGAGGCCAAATGCGGGGGCCTGCAGTACTTACCTTGTGAAGCGGTCCGGGGCCTACCGACAAGTACAGACGAGTGGAAAGGGGGAAGGAGCGGAAACCGGCGGCGGGCTTGTAGCCGCCATAGGGGAGAAACTGAACCCGAGCTCCTTCTTTCCGACCACCCCAACCAGAGGTACCCCGAATACCGGGGCCCTGCCCCCCTTGCCCCCAAGAAAGAAAGAAAGAGGCCAAATGCCTCGTCTGAGTCTTTGTTGGCACCCAAACGCCCGGATAATCCACTTTCAGGCCTCCCTGCATTTTCCACTTGGGGCTCAGGTCCGGACAGCTGGCAGCATGCGCGTGAGATGTCCAATGCAAGGCACCAACATCATGCTTCAGGGGGAAATTGCAGGACTTGCCCAGCTTTGCAGCACCTGCCTGGGAGGCCTCATGGACGCCTTCCACCGGAGGCCTCTCCATGCGTTGGCATCGAAAATGGCGGACTCCTCCCAAACATCCCAACCGTGTTTGCAGGCTGCCTGAACTTGGGTCTCAGGGTACTGTCCACAGCTCGGATCAATGCCATGTTGGAACGAAGCCCCAGTCGCCCAACCCCCTCACCCCCTCACCCCCTCACCCCCTCACCCCCACTCACCCCCCTCACCCCCCTCACACCTCCCCCCCACCCCCTCACCCCCTCACCCCCTCACCCCCTCACCCCCCCGCCCGTCTCAACACCCGCCTAGTGTGGCTCTTCCCGCCGAGGTCAACACCTTGCGGCCGGCACCTCGGGATTCAAAAACAGCAGGAGATGCCGAGGGCTTGATGGGCTTTATGGGAAACGCTACAATCATTACGTCAAGACTGGCCCTTCTGTAGATGGTGTATAGCTGGGTTTAGGGTGGCGCAAATCGAAGCAGAGCGCTTTTTAAGCTTCTTCAGTGCTGTTTCTGAGCTGTAAGTTCTGCCATGTTGTGCCATTCTGTGCCGTGCTGTGCCGTGCTGTGCCGTGCTGTGCCGTGCTGTGCCGTGCTGTGCCGTGCTGTGCTGTGCTGTGCCGTGCTGTGCCGTGCTGTGCCGTGCTGTGCCGTGCTTTGGGGTAAATGCCATGAGGGCAGTTTGCGGCGAAGAATGATCGAGGTCCAGCCGCGTCAAATGCCAAAACCAAGAGCCGTCTGCGGGTTGGCAAGCAGCGTGTCCGAGGGCCGGTTTGCCAACTGCCAGGAAAATAAAGACATACAAGCTGTAGGCTAAGTTAGGGTTTAGGCTTAGGGTACAGCTTCTGCACAAACTGAACTGTGCAAGTGTCAGCAGATACCACACCCCACAAGATCCCTGCAGGTCACTTGCAGCCCTACAAGCCTGAGAGGAATCACTGACAAGAAGGCCAGGTCTTCTTGAAAAGGCCCCACAGGCGCAATCTCTGGGTTTTCTGATCAAGAGGCAGCTGGGACATCACACAGTTGCAGTTGCTTCGCGACACAGGCTGTTCGTTGCGGCAAAGGAGAAAGCCCCAGGCCGTGAGAGCAGCGTTTTGGATGATTTGTGGCACTTGGTGAGCAGGGAAGCTCTTGCCCTCGGCGAAGATCTGGACATGTCTGGAGCAGAAGGTAGCGCCCAAATCCAAGACGCCAGGCGAATTCAGCGCACTGCCCCAGGCTTCGACACGCAGAATCTGTCCAATGCCATGCAAGGACCGACTAAAGTTCCCGCCTCAGCGGAGGGCTTCGACGTTGACAGCAAATAGCCGGCTAGCCTTCGCCCATTCCCCTCAGTTTATGCCCTAGCCCCAAGGATGGCGGGGAAATCCTCCGATTTCCAAAGATCCGTGTGGTCGCTTTTTTCTTTTTTCCCACCATTTTCCTCACCATTGTTCTTGTTTCAAGGTCATGCTTTCTGACCTGCCCGTGCTGTCTGTGCTCGCGCGGGCCCGAACTGAAGTGGATAACATGGGCGAGGGAAAGAGAGAGGCGAGGGGGAGAGAGGGGGGGATGGCGGTCAGAGGGATGGAGTCAGCTTCCATTCCCTGTGAGTCACTGGTAGTGCAGCAGGTCTTTCTCTTTGAGCCCTGCGGCAGCCGTATACCATCAACCATGCCAAGCTGTATGCAACATTCCAATTTCTACCACGGCCTCGGTTTCTGAACCATCGCCATCGACCGTGCCGTGATCGGACGCCGTTCTTGCCAACACAACGTAAAGCTCCCAGTACACAAGCGAAGAACGCGAATCCAAGAATCAACTACACTGGTGGTAGTCTGCAGGAGGTCATCCAAGAGTATTCGTTCTGAACGCTGCGGCTGAGATTGTTGAACTGGCGGGCAAGGGCGTATGAGATCTCACCACTTCGTCCAGCCCAGGATGCTTTTCAAAATCAAAGGCTCAGCCCTACACCCAACTTTCAGTTCTTGAGAGTCGCAAGCTTCCTAGTTTGTGGTGCTTTGGGTCCCGTAGGCGTGAAAGATCTTGACAGAAGGTGCTGGGCTTAATCGTCAAAAGGAGACCGCGCTGTGGGCTAAGAAGCCAACCCAACAGCAAAGGGCAAGCACCTACTTCTGAGGGCGGCGCCAAAAGAACACAAGGGGCCTAGACTTCCTGTGTACATCCACCGCTAGGTCCTTGGGACTCGGCGAAGCACCGCAAAATGCGTGGGCTAACCCTACTCACGTCATCGTCTTCACGCCCATCAGTCTTTCGCGGTGTCTATTTCTTGCCTCGCCTTCAATGCCATCATACTCTGCATCGCGGGAGCGTCCTCGTCACCCACCTTTTGCCTCATGCCTGCGTCACCTCCATGGCTAACACCTACAGCCTCCATGGCCGGGCGGCTGGGGTTTCACAGGCCAGGGGCGAGGCCACTACCCCCCTGCGGCTTCACTCCGCCGCCGCAGAGCGGCCCTGGCCCGGCTGCCCCTGACGACGACATACAGCTCCTGAAGCAGGGAAGCCTGCAACCCCGCAGTGTCCCCACCTGTGCGGGCGGCCACTGCGCGCGCAATGTGGCGCAGGACAATCGAGGCCCCCCTGTCCCAGGTGCCCGTGGCCTCCACGACCATAGGCACAAAGACGACGCCCTGCCTTTCACAAGCCTGGGCTGTGTCCAAATGCGCTTCCTTGTGCCTGGCATAGGCGGCTGGCGCAGCTGTCTCTCTTCCTGCCTGGGCCAAGGTGTCCTGCCGCTGCGGCGCCGTTACGGCGAAATCCAATGCAGCAGGACCCCCCGCCAAGGCGGGAATGTAGACATCTGCGGGGCGGCGCCGGGCCGCTTGGCAATCCTCAGGACGCTGTGGGAGCAGAAGGCCTGGGGCCTCCTTGACTGGTTGAAGGCCTGCTCGCTCCGCCCAGCGGTAAACCACATCGCGCACAGCATGGTGGCGCTGAGTGCGCTCCCCTCCCGCCACACACATGCCAGCGTGGTAGTTCCAGCGATCCAGCACGCCGTCGCAACGGGGGCACCAGCCATCTTCAACCGCGTCAGCCACTCCAAGACGCATGCGAAGAACCCGGCAGGCTCCATGCGAGTGCCACCGCATGGCACCGCGTTCAGAAACGCCCGCGCACCCAGGCCAGCCTCCGATTGCAGGCTGGCCTTAGCAACAGCGCTGGCCTGGCGCAGCTGAGCATCCCAGCCGGCGGCATCCAGTTGCTGGGACAGGTAGCTGCTTAAGACCGCCTCGAGCGACTGCGCCTGCGCCGTAGCACCCTGCCAGCTGTGCCACGCACCGAGAAGCCCCTGTGAAGCCTTCACCGCTGTAGCTGAGAAGGCAGGATAAATTTCAGCACAGCCCTTCAAGCTGGAACCCACAGAAGCCAGGTAGGCGGCGGCGGCATGGACAGCGCAAGAGCGCAGACCCAGCCCAGCCTGGGCAAAGCCCCGGGCCGCCTGGCCCCATTGTTCAGGTGTGGTGTGCATGCCAGTGAAACTGCTGAAGCAGCGCTGCACCATAGGCACCCGAAACTCAAAAATCGAGTTTCGCTTGCGACCGTCCTCCCTAAGCTCCAAACCCTTGAGCCCCGAACCCCTCTGAACCCTTGAAATCGCCCCTCTTGAGCCCATAAAATCGCGCCTAAGCCCCTTCAACACCAACCAAGGCCGCGGAGGCGCTTGAAAGCGTTCGCGGACTTTCTTCCCAAGACTGCGCCAACGCAGCGCAGGCCCTGTCAGGATTGGAGCTCATGAGGGCCTTGAGCACTTGAACCCCCTTAAGCCCTTGAGCACCTGAAAATCGCAAGAACCCCCTTGAAAAAGACTCACTGAGATCTACCAGTCTTCGAAAATGGACAGGCCTTGGGGGCCTTGGCGGCACTGCGCCCGGCGTTGGTGGTCCCGGGCCCAAACCGTCTTTGTGGTTTGGAGCTTTGGGTTCGGGGGGCTTCGGTCAGTTTTAGGATTCAGGGCACGCTGAAGTCCAGATGCTAGGCGGCGTAAGATCCAGGGAAGGGAGGCTCTGAACTCTCACCCCGCAGGTCCTCTTCTGGTACCGGAGACCTCCGTAAAGTGTTAGAGACTCCTTCGGGATCAGTGGTGAAATGCGTCTTGGGCATCGCAGATCATGTCTGGGGTTGGGAGGTTCCAGAAACGCAGAGGAGGCCTTTCACGATTGGGGACAAGGCAGGAAGCACATGGGAGAGCGGCTCCATCACGCCGCCATCTCTGCTCTTAGGCATGCCACTTCAGGCAAATTAGGTGCATGTGTAGACCATTTGGTGTGCGCGTGCCCGGCGAGCAATGTCCAGTCAAATCATGCTTGGAGTTGCTCGACAGGATACAGCACTGTCTAAGTCTAAGTCTTGATCCTGAAATCTCTTGCCTGAAAGGACTAGAGAGGCCTTTTGCCATTACCTGCAAGCTGCAGAAGAGCACAGTCAACGTAAGCTTTGGGCGGAGTGTAGGGGAAGAGTTCTGGAGGTGCAGGATTTTTTGGGATTCAGATTCGTCTTCAACCTTAGCCGCTAAGGCAGCCGCAAAAACCCTCAAACCTAGAAAGATGCAATGAGGGGAAATATGAGTACGTACATTCCGCAACATTGTTCGGGAATTGCAAGCTTTCGGAAGTATTTGAAGACTTGACACAGCAACTCCTCCTTGAGACTTTCGTCTCCTAGTACAAATCCCTAAACCCCCAACACGCACTTTCAGTTTGAAACACGACAAGTGAAGATGGGCATGTATCAGCCTCTTTCAAGAAGCAATCGCTACAGCCAGGCTCTGTTTCAATTCTGGACCGCCACTCTTAGACCCCAAACCGCCCAAGAAGCTCTCAAGCGGCAAGATGGCTCCTCAAGGGGCTTTTGTAGCCTCAAAAATACTAAGGTTATAGGGTGAGGATCGGATCAAGAGTCAGCTCAACTTAAACCCCAAGAATAAGGGCCGCTCAGTTGCAGTTCCCGAGGTTGGCACTGCTGTTGTCCTGGCACACATCCATTGGCTAGGAGCCCTGAGAGAGCCCCATTGTGCGCTCTGTGCGGGCTTCTCGTCGGGGGTCGGTCGGCTCACCCTGTATCAATGACAGTATTTGTATCATGTCAAGAAGAGCTCCACCTGCCCAACACCTGCCCAACACCAGCCCAACACCAGCCCAACACCAGCCCAACACCAGCCCAACACCAGCCCAAGCAAAGTGCCACAGGAGGTCACACGTGGGCAGCTTGGACAGGCTTGGTCAAAAAGGGCCACCATGCCATGAAGGAGACTTGTCTTCATTGCTTCGCCCACGTCAAGCTCTTGTGTTTACTGTGGTCGTGGTGGCAAGGACAACACAGAAGGCCACAGAACACAACTCGAGCGTGTCGAGCGGACCGGATAGTTGCGCAGATTTGCTGGGTGTAGTCACTGCAGCATGTTCACATACTGGCAGGATGTTTAAAGATGTTGGGCCTCATTATGATTTGTAAGGTTTAAGCTAGTGCTGAACCCTAAAAGGTGAGACCAGGGATGCTGTCTACCTCTCTGGTTCGTTAATACCGTGCTGAGCCTATCTAGTAATGTATTAGTGAGTTTGGGTGCCACTGCCTGTCAAGGAAGGACACTTCAAGGAAGAGCCGTTCCAGCAGTCCCACATCTCCGAAAGGCTGACAAGATCCAGGATCTCAAACTACCGTCGCTTGCCGCATATTTCCTCATCAGTATTTTCCACTTAATCTGCAGGATTTGCCCGAATGAAGTCTGAGCACCGAACCCAACATAAGTTTGTCAATTTGTGTGATGCAGATGCAGCCAAACTACTCTAGGGGGACATGCAGGGCCGTTTTCCGCGAGGCCGCTCGTTCTAGGCTCCGTTCTAGAGAAATGGGTGCGGACTCTGTCAGAGTCCAAGGTTTAGCGACTTCTATCAGCGTGCACATGTCGATGTTAACATTCCTCGCCCGCCTTGGGAAATTCGTGATGGACCCCGGCTTCGAGGACAACTCGACTTGACACAAAGCGGTTGCGTGCATGCTGCATGATGCCAGGCGCAAGGCATTCTTGCTCAATGGCTTTTGTGCCAGGACGCAGTGGTAATGATTGCGATTTCGGTCGGGTACGCACTGGACGCATGCGTCTGCAGTGGACAGATCCTTCTGACCCGCAGCTCTTCTACAGCGTCGCCCGCGTACTTCTGCCCTCCCTCTCTCCCTCGCTCTGTCCCTCGCTCTCTCCCTCCACTCTCTCTCCTCGCTCTGTCCTGGAAGTCTCAATTCTCTCCCCAGGCGAGAGGTTGTTGAGGATCAGCGTCGTCTTGTGCACGGTGATGCACTGTATGAACCTAAGCTGCCCCCCAGCTTTGGGAATCAATTTTCTCTGTGTGTAACTACGTACGTAGTTTGGAACACTTTTGGAACTACCTACACTGGACCTACACATTCTGTTGAGCAGGCGGCACTTCACTCGAAGCCCTGATTCCACGTACGCCAGGCTATGCCACCACAACAATCCCAGCTGACCACATGCTGGCATACAGTCTGCTGACGACTGCGAACACCCTGGCTGGATTGGTTTGCCTGAGGGCAACAATTTGGGCTCCTTCCTTAGATGTTGCTGCCTGCACCCACTTCAACAAGCCCAGATGGATGGTTCCAGTTGGCAGCTTTCCGAATGTCACATGCTGGCCAAAGGACTGAAGCAAGTAGTTGCTTTCATCTACCAAAGTGTCTAGGCAGGGATACATAATTTGGAGCTGTGCTTCGTTCAGATACAGTCTTCTCTGTAGACCCCCTACGACCCTTACAGTCGAAAGGCCGCAAGAAACCGGCCATGTCTTGCTGTGCTTACACCTCACCGCTTTGCAAGTCCTAAGCCAAGCAAAAGAGGTAGCCTCTGACCTTCAAGGTTCTTGGGCGCATGGGGATAGCGAAGCACAGAATTCACGAACAACCAGGCTTCCAAAATGATGGAGATCAACATGAGGTTATACCAAGAAAAAGTAATGCAAGTCGGAGACTGTTTATGTTAGCAGTCAGCACCAGTCAGACTCAAGTGCTCTCAAGCTCTCGCCTGTTTGTAAAGCCCCGAAGCCCGGCACGGGCCTCAAAAAAGGGCCTCAAAAAAGGGTCCCCCAAAAGCATCCATAAAGGTTCCATCCGCCATCGCCCTGGCCTTGTGCGATGCCACCTTCTTCGCGCAGAAGTTCGGGCTGGAGGAGCTGAGCTCCAATTTTGTTTTAGATCACACCGTTCGGTGCCTAGCCTTGACAATTTCGGCGTTTTTGGTTTAGCTTGGTGAGTTTTTCGGAGTTTAGTGAAGTCGGTGTTGATGCAGCTACAGAACATGTAGGTTTTGTCGGGAAGAAGCCCTGAATTGGTGGAAATCCTCCCCCCCCCATAGCGACCATGGTGTGACCGTTAAGGCAAAGGCACCTGTAGGTCCAGGGGTGAAGGTTCCAAATCTTCCAAAGGTTCCAATGTAGGGCTCCGCAGTCCGCAGCCCAGGTTGGTGCTGAACTGCGCAATCCTCATCGGCGCGGAGATGAGTGTGCGCGGGCGCCTGCAGTCGGAAGTGGAGTGCGAGGCAACAGCTAAGCACGGGCAGAGTATGGGTAGTGTTTAGGAAGCTCAGGGAGTTTAGGGAGTTTAGGGTTTGAGCTTGCAGTCTTCGTGCCCACTGCGCTTCCGTGAGGATGCCAGCTCTATGGTGCGTGCTTTCCAGCAGATCTTGAAAGGAGCCCCCGTCTTAAGCAGAGGTGCTAGAGATACGACGCCGTGAAGAAGCCCGAGCGAGCTGAAGCAATGATTTCTGTTTGCCCCTGCTGTGTCCCGCATGCCGGAGGATTATGCGATGGAAGCCTCATTCTGGACAACCGGATGATGTCACTCAGCTGCACTCTCATGTTCTGCTCGATTGGGAGCGTAGCAAGCTCCGCTTAGCAAGCTCCGCGGAGAATGCTCAGCAGAAAAGATGATCAGAGGATTCGCGGATCTCCAGTTGGCCTCCAGCGCTTGCTTCCCAGTCGAACGATCTCGGCTGGAGATGAGTTCTGCTCACTGATGGGCAGCGAGGAGATGAAGGACCTGGGATGCACACTGCAACACACCGGAGTTTTTCTGGGTGCACAAACTGCACGAGTTTACTTACACGTTACACCGCATGAAAGTAAAGGCTGTCTCGGCTTCGTTCCCAAGTTCGACATTCTGACTGCGGGGGGGGCCCCGCCTCGTTCAGCCTGCTCCGGTCCGCGTCAGCACCTTTCTGTACCAAACGAGGGGGGCGGATGCTGGGAGCAAGTCGGTCACGAAAAATGTGAGCATTGGGCAACCTCGCAATGCCGGCGAACAAGGTCTTGCAGCCGGGGCCCTCTGAGGGGGGGAAGAGGCCCAGGCCGAAGTTTGGCAGAGTGCGAAAAAAGACTAAGAACGGGTCAAGAACGTCATAGTGGCGAAGCCGCGATGAAGATTCACCATGATAACCAATATTTAACAATCGACAATGATGATGCAGAATAGTCGTAGTGAGAAGATTCGTTCGGCAGGGGGATGACAAGACCCGGCAAGACGCAGCGAGACAAACGACCAAAGAAGAACAACTGCAAGACTGTGATCACAACGAAAAATCAGCATTTCAACACAGGAAGGGCTTTGGAACAAAGACAGGAGAGGCAGAAATCGGCGAAGCCGACCGCACCCACATAGAGCGAGGAAGTACAATGCAAGGGAAGCGGGTGGAAGCACATGCAACCAGCCCCAGACGCCAAAGGAGGAGAAAAGGGACAAGCAGCGAGTACACAAGCGTCGAGTCAGAGGATTCCAAAGGAAGAGCAGAACGGAGAGTTGCATTAGTTGCATTGTGCTGACGAGGTTAGTGTATTGCTAGTGTTGGAGGCACAAGCTGGCAGGATGCCTGGAATGTAACGTGACGAACACGATTGTCGGTGAACGGGAGAAGCGACGCGTCAACACCATTGCAGTAGAAGCAGAGTAGCAAGCAGCGTTGCAGATTAGCACCTGTTTTTTCCTTACCTACGACTAGAACCTCCTGGACTCATCGTCTGCGTAGGCATCCACGCACGCACCGGTCCTGCACAGCCGCCGTTTGAACTATAGCTGCGGGCACAGGGGCCAGTAGTGCGTCCACACATCCTCCATTCTCAACTTGCACTCTTTAGACTTTAGGCAAAGGCCAGGACCTCACGGCCAATTTTCAAGGTGGGTGCTTCATTTTCATCTGGCTGGCAAGGGCTGGTCGGGAGTTTTTGTTTACAACCTTCTTGATTTGGGACAACTAAGGTCCTGAAGTCCCTGGTCTATCCGGGGTTTAAGGTCCCTTTGTGTTTGGGGGCAGTCGCAAGGAGCTGCCTTGCTCACGGTGGGGATTTAGGCGGGGGGGAGGGGGGGGCGGGGGGGAGCATGTTTACTTTGGAGCCCGGACACTCAAATGCTAGGATCCGCGGGGGCTGAGCTTTCCTCCTGCTCACAAGTCTGCTTGGCAAGACAGTGCCAGCAGGCTGTGGCAGCCCGAAATGTATAATGACACTTCGTATACTATGCGTCTTCATATGTCAGCCCTGAACGCAAGCCGCCAAATCCCTGAACCGCAGTTGTTTTTTGAATGTGTGCTTTCGCCTGATTGGAAGGACCGCTTTCTTGAATTCATTGCTGGCTCTGTTGCTGCAAGCTCTGCCGGGCGGAGCTCGCAAGTACCACAGGAGGGGGGCGGGGGACGGGTGGTTCTCGGTTTTCTCTAATCGCTCGCAGGAGTTGTTTGCCCAATGCCCCCAGAATCCCAAGCTGGGACCTTGACAGAAGGAACGGATTGTCCGCACGTCCAGAGTCGTAGCCTTTGCTTCCATTCAGGCGCGAATCAAGGTCCGAAGGCTTTAGGGCTCCGGGTCAACAACTATTTATCCCCAGCCGAACTCCGCAAGAGCCTTGTCGACTTGGCGCCCGAAGCGGGTTATCATATGCCATGAGAAGTTTGAACATCATCAAAATCCTCAATATGTCAGCGTTTTTTGAATCTTACATAGGGAGGGCGAAATCCTACGTTCCAAACCACCCTCACCACGAACACCCCCATGTTTCCGGCAGGGCGGTCCTCCTGCCTGCTGGCGGGTGGTGTTGTCAGATGGTGGACGAGAGTTACATGTGGATGTGCCATGGTCCGAACAAGAGAGGGGCAGTAGGCAATTTGGGGCAAGTACATCGAGTAAAGAATGCTGGCGTTCTGCCCCCTCAGCAGCTCCGGTTACCATCCTCATCGACATCGTCATTACTTTTTTGCGTGCTCGGGCCTCCATGACTCTCAACATGCTAGTGCTAGGCCCTAAGCATTCAAAGCCATGAGTTTCATAACATCAGTCCCAAAAAACCAAGAGATGGACTCATGAACCATCTACTTCATACAGAGTTCAGGCGCCCATTTGTAGCCAGACCGAAGCCCTCTGCATAGGCGTATGTACTTTTTGCAGCTGTTGGTCCTGGGAAACCACGCCAGCAGGTCTTTCATGCTACGCTGCCCCGTCTGTTCGGTGCTGAGGCCCTCCAGTACGTTTAGGGATGTTTTCGGGGGTTTGTGGGGTGACGGGGCTTCGTTCCTTGGTTTCATTCCTAGAGCGCAGGAGCCATACCACCTGCTGGCCTTGGTTGAGGACCCGAGGGTTTTCGGGGCTTCGGGGAAGGACCCCAAGACGCAAATGGGCTTGGTACATAGCCCTGTTGTGGAGCTTCATGTAATGGCGGCCCCGAAGTCAGGATGCGGATCAACAAAAAACTTATTCAGGATCAAGAAAAAGATTATCTAGGATCAAAAATAGCTTATTTAGGATCAAGAAATAATTTATTCTGTTCCTCCGACGGAGAGAGGGAAGGGGAGGGAGGGAGGGAGAAAAGGAGGGAGGGAGGGAGGGAGGGAAGGAAGGGCGGAAGGGCGGAAGGACGGAAGGAAGGAAGGAAGGCAGGAAGGAAGGAGGAAACAAGCAAGCAAGGAAGGAAGGAAAGGAAATGAAAGGACAGGCAAGGATATGTAGGAAACATAACATAACATCATAAGTTGTAATATATGTATGGTCACACCCCCCCCCATGATCCATATGTATCCTTTTCTTGCTTGTCCTTCTGCGCCTGTGCTTACTTACACATATTGTTGAAGTGAAAACACCGGTATTTACGATACTTTCGTGTCTTGCCATGTCTGAAGCTACAACTTGCTATTGATTATGTACACTGTTAAACAACAGAAATATCCGTTTCTGGATTTGGTCTTGTGTGGTTTGCTAATCTCTGTTATTCAGTCGAAAATGGCTTTCAAAAACCACCTTCTTGAAATTCAACAAAATTAATTGATTAGATAAAAATACTTTATCAACCATTGTATAATGCATAAACATAAAAGAAGACATGAAGGGGTTTCAAATAAAGCACCTGACACAAGAAGAAGTTAGAGACGAATTCGCAAAGACAGAGACATTCTTAACGGACACGCAAGGACTTAAATTAGCGTATGAGAATCCTGACGGAATATATCAAAAATGGTTATATTTTAAACATTGCTGGGACTAAAAGCCGAAGAGATGTTTATGATGATTGAGCAACAGACTCAGCGTTATAAAGATGTAGGTAAGTTCATTTACGATGGTTTTATTGAAATAGACAGTTAAAGAAAAGAAAAAACTTGAATTTCTGGTATTATAAGCCATAGTTCAGTTTCAGCATCGGGACAACAAATAAACAATGATTATGGTAATGTATTCAGAAGTCGTTGTTATGGTTCACCTTTTGTATCAGGACAGCGACCAGAAGACACTGGCACAAATTTAAGAATACGCAAAGCAGGAGACCCCGTTGGTATGTTTGATTAAGGAAGTATAACATCAGAGAAGTCAACATGAGACCCTCTACAAAATCATCCTTATGAAGATATAGGCAATGTTAAAAACAAAGCAGGACATCTACCTATAACCGAAGAGGAGTGTTTTTAACAACAGTTTGATGCAATATCCGACATAATATTCATAGCGTTTCATGAGAAAGCAACAACATACGAACAAATAGAGAAATCGAAGATAGAGAAGCAATTTAAACAAAATGTCAGCGGACATTTATGTAGGTAAGAACAGCTCAGCATGCACCCGGACGGAGGTGGTGTTCTCTTGATGCCATTTTGGGTCAAGGGCCCAACATCAAAGAACTTTTATAATCCGGGCATGTCGACATCGCTACGTGCATCAGCTGGCAGCTCTTGCTTGAGATCTGCCGTGGCATATGGCCCTTGACCCCAGCGAAGCCGAGATTCAAGGTTTCCGAAATGTGGGCCATGTTGCCACGTGGTGTGGCTTGACCGGTACAGCCACTGATAAGAATACTGCCCGCGGATCCCTCTTCACGCTGCTAGGACTGGATGGCTCGGAGCACCCTCGCATTGTTGGAATTTCAACAGATGCTGATTTCACAGACTTGTTGAATCAGTGGCGCTTGGGGGATCCACCTGCTACAAGGCCTAGTTTTGCACAGCGATGCCAAGGTGGATTATTTGGCAGGACATGCAGGCTGATAGCTGGGACCACGCAGACAATTGCAGTGCAGAATGCGACAGCTGCGGCGACTGCTACCCCTTCGGCATCATCAAATAACAAGCGGAAGATCAAGATGGCGACAGTCATCAACCAAGCTGATGACAATGAGATTGAAGTTTTGGATGGCACGAAGTTGGCCACAATGTATGGCCAGTACAAGCGGAAGGTAGGAGCCTTCCCCTCCCCTGACGAGGAGCTGTCCATCGAACAGGTCACCTCCTTACATGAGCTTTTCCAAACGGGGCGACCGCCCTACACTGATTTCGCCATATGGGGGCCGTATCATCACAGAATACAGAAGAAGCTCAAAGCTAAGGGAGTCAGGATCACTTTGGGAGGCGAGATCACTTCCGTGGAAATCCCGGGGCCCCCCACGTTCCAGGCTTGGCGCGAATGCTATGCTGTCTTCAAGACAGGCGCAATCATGATGGAGCAGAGAAGAACATACGTTCTTATGTGGAACGGTATGGAGAGAGTTGTTGGGCTATAGTTTATCAAGCTGATGTTCGTGCCAGGTTGGAGCATTCGGAGAGGATGCGACGCCAGGGAGAAGAAGAACATCAAAAGGCCACCAGTTTGGGCATGCCGCATGAATACGATGCCGCGAAGCCTTGGGAGTATGTGTGGAATGCACTCGTCGAGGATCAGAGGTTCTGGCACAAGGAAGTTGAGGAACCGTGTCTCCTGGTGAAGGCAAAGTCGGCTACGCTAAACAACATGGTGGAGGCAGATGCGCCCATTGGGCGCGACACTCTGGCATCCCAGCCTGCGTACGAAGCCAATCCGCAGAGCCCAAAGAAGCGCAAGAACCAGGAGCGTGTGCACAAGCTTGGCGATGACGGGCTGCTGACGCACAACAGACGAGGCACCGCTCTATGCGAAGGTTTCCAAAAGGGAGAGTGCAAGGAAGCAAACCCTGATGGGACTTGCAAACGCGCTCCCACTCTGCGTCGTCAGTGCGCCAAGTGTTTGTCGCCTGTGCATGGGGCCTCACAGTGCCCCACAGCGAGTCCAAAGCAGCCCAGGGCTAGCCATGGCAAAGGCCGTGGCAAGGCCCCCGGGAAGCGCAAATGAGGCCAGTACGCTGGCCTTTCAGTGCATGTGAATTCAGGGCCATCACGAGTGAAGCCTCCGTCCACACAGAGGGAGCTGACAGCTGAGGCCAACAATGCGTCATTAACGTGGCCAGCTCGCACATCCTCTGCATCTACAAGATCACCCACGCTTGTTTTTCTGCATATGTTCAGTGGCCCGTCGAATCGCGTAGATGGGCTAAAGCATTTTTTGCAGGAGATGGGCGCTGATGGTGTTGACGTGGACATAGTTAACGGCTCGGAGTTTGATCTGGTGGACGAGCACTACTACCAGGAGCTGCTTCGGAGGATACGCGCAGGCGAGTTTGACGGCGGCGTCATAAGCCCACCTTGCAGCACCTTTTCTAACGCTCGCAGGGCAGATGGTGGGGGACCGATCCCATTGAGGACCCCTACAGGCCCGCGCCGCTACGGACTGCCGAGTCTGAAGCCTGCAGACAAGGACAAAGTCAAGGTAGGCACGCTGTTAGCACTGCGCGCCGCGGAAGTTTTTCGAGCATTCAAGGAGCAAGGCAAACCGGTGATCCTTGAACAACCTCATTGGAAGCAGGAAGACCCAGCAGCCGTCAGCATGTTTGACCTGGACGAGTACCAAGAACTCATGTCAGACGATGCTGTGCAACTTGCGGATTTCGACCAGTGCTTGTATGGGGTGTCGCACGCCAAACGCACTACGGTGATCTACGTGCACATGAACCTGGGCGCCTCTTCATCAGCAGCATATCCGGCAGGGCTTAACCAGTTCTATGCGTCAAGATTGGTGAGTTCCTGCAAGGAAGGAAAGCACATGGTCGAGCACGTCGGAAGTAGCAAGTTGCTGCAACGTGAGGTGCAAAGCAGCACCCAGGCTGGATACCACTTTCGTCACCCTTTGAGGGGCAAACGCCCCAACCAAGAGGATCGCCATCTGGGTGGCATGAGACGTCCAGGCAAAGCTCTGCGTACCATTCCTGGATATCAAGGTGCAGGCGGCGTTCTGCACAAGCGCATCATTGACTACCTCATGGTAAAGCAGCAAGTTGTACGCCAATGTTGTGAAGCACTGGGGTCGGACTGCGAACAGGCTGGACCGCCGGACTGTGTGATTGATGAAATCAGAGCCCTCATGCTGCAAACGTTTCCAGAAGTGCCAGCGCTTGGGGCTGCCTTAGACACCAAGCTGCAAGCAGACTTGATGTACCGATGGGCCAAGGCGGTGAATGACCCCGATGCAGATCACATCCATCGTTGGATTACAAATGGGGCGCCGGCAGGCATCGAGGTCATGATCGAAGATGGAAGCATTTTTCCGCCAACTACAGACCCTGAGCCGGTTTTGGGCCTTCACGAAGGCTGGTCCCAGGATTACCAAGGCAATTACACCTCTGTGGACGACGACCCTGCGGCTGAGGCTGAAGTCAACAGACTGCTGGACAGCGGGTTTGTCAAGTGCTTCGAGACGCTGGAAGCATGTCAATCTTGGGTCGGCGGCGAGGTGTGTTTATCCAAACTTGGCCTTATCACCACAAGGTTCACCCAGTCACGGGAAAAATCAAGCGCAGGCTCATTCTCGACTGCAAGCAGTCGCATGTCAACCAGCGGGCCTGGAAGGGCGGGCGGCTACTGCTACCCCGAGTCACTGATGTGTTAGATGACGCCCTGTGCCTTCTACGCCAAGCAGAGGGCACAGCAGCAACTGTGGAATGGCTGGTGCTGGACTACTCGGATTGGTTCTTCCAGGTCCCCTTACACCCCAAGGAACGAAGACACTTCGCCTTCGCCTACAAGGGCAAGTATGCTGTCTACCTCGTGCAAGCGCAAGGCTCCATCAACGCTCCAGTTGTATGTGGGCGTGTGGCGGCATTGGTGGCACGGCTTACCCAAGGCGCATTTGGTCAGGGCTTGCTCAAGTTGCAAATCTATGTGGATGATCCATGCATCTGCGTCTGTGGTTTAGAATCGCAGAGGAATGTCAACTTGGCGGCCCTCATTCTTATGTGGAGG